ACCCAGTGGAGCCTCCGGCGGCCGGTCTACGGTCTCCGCCAGGCGCCACATGAGTGGCACGACACCCTGAGGACGACACTTGCGGCTCTTGGGTTCGCGCCTTCTACTGCTGACACGTCGTTGTTTCTGCGCACCGACACTTCGTTGCCGCCGTTCTACATCCGCGTGTACGTCGACGACTTGGTCTTTGCCACTGCGGACACTGAGGCTCTCGCCCTGGTGAAGTCGGAGCTGCAGAAGAGACACACGTGCACAGACCTGGGTGAGCTGCGCAGCTACCTTGGCTTGCAGATCACCTGGGACAGAGCACGCCGCACCATCACACTGACTCAGTCACACATGGTGCAGCAGGTCCTTCAGCGCTTCGGCTTTACCTGGTCCTTGCCACAGCACACTCCTCTAGCTACAGGTCACTCGCTCTCAGCTCCACCTTCGGACGAGTCCGTAGAGCCGAGTGGTCCTTAGCCAGAGCTAGTGGGCTGCCTCATGTACCTGATGACCTGCACTCGTCCTGACCTTGCGTACCTTATTTGCCTTCTCGCTCGCTACGTGGCTCCTGGTAGGCACCGACCGGAGCACATGGCTGTTGCTAAGAGGGTATTGCGCTACTTGTGCAGTACATCGGGCATGGGGCCCATGCTTGGAGGGCGGAGCCCAGTTGTCCTCACTGGGCACTCGGACGCTTCTTAGGTTGACGACCTGGCTACACAGCGGTCGTCACAGGGTTACACCTTCAGCCTTGGCTCTGGCTCTGTTTCTTGGCGGTCTACACGCTCGTCTTCTGTTCTCGGCTTCAGTTGTGAGGCTGAGATCTACACCACAGCCATGGCTGCACAGGAGCTACGCTGGCTCACCTACCTGCTGACCGACCTGGGAGAGCGGCCTCGTTCTCCTCCAGTGCTGTACGTAGACAACAAGGCCGCCATTGCCTTGTGTCATGAGCACAGACTGGAGCACAGAACGAAGCACATCGCTCTGCGTTACTTCCTCGCTCGAGAGTTGCAGCAGCGAGGTCAACTTCGTCTTGCTCACGTGGCCACTCAGGCCAACACTGCTGATGTATTCACCAAGGCACTTCCGTCTGGTGATCATCAGCGTTTCTGTACTTTGTTAGGCCTTGTGCCCACTTTTCCTCACTTGCTGTAGACCTTGTTTGTACTGTGATCTATATATATACCTGCTTGCTTGCTTTGCTAGGTAGAGATCACTGTGATGCTGTTGTTGCATATATACCTCTGCATGTGAACTGGCCTTGTGGCCCTTTGCTTGTGCTCAGTGTGTGTGGTGACGTTGTGATCCACCCTGAGCTTGCTTTGCTTCTCTTGACTGGTCTTGTGACCCCTTGCTCTCCCCCACTTTGCCTATGGGGGTGTGTCAAACTATGATAATGCTTGTGCTGTGTAGGCTGTAGTGGGGTAGCCCATAAGGGGTACAACCCAAATTAGGGTTAGCATATGTACCCACATCTCTGTTCAATGCACTCGTTCCTGCTGCTAGATTCTAACAGTTTATAGGGCTTTTTGCGCGGCGGATTGCACAGCGGCGTAAAGACTTCGGGGGGGGGGGGGATGATGGGTCAGCCCGGATTTTCGAAACCGGAGTCACTACACGACTTTCCGTGGCACTGCAGCGAGCGCAGGCTCAGAGTATTATACAGCACGCGGTGCAGCAGTTGGGAGGGTCAGACGATGGGTGGATGCCCGAACCAGTCCCTTTGGGTGCAGGGCAGGGCAGTTGGCATCACATTACCGGCTGCTTTGAGAGCGTGGCAGACATGCAGTATATGTACGATGCATATGTATAGGCGTTAAGCGATTGTGCTGTAAAGGCTGTGTCCCGCGCTGTGGTGCGGGTTGCTGTGGTGTTTTGGTCCTTAGGTGTTTCCTTCCTTTAGTTTCTTCCTCTCTTCTTTTCCTCTTTCCACCTTTCCTTTGGCCCTTCTCTTCTTCTCCAGCTCTTCTCTCAGCATCACCCTGTCTTTGTTCCACCATTTCTACCTTCCTCTAATACCCCTTATCTTAATTACCCCGACTTTGTATCACACTTAACCAAGGAGCAGCTTTTAAGGTTCAAACGAGCACCTCAAAACCCTACACCCGACCGAAGAGCTTCCTGCCAGAAACGTGCAGGTTCCTGGTTTCCGGAAGAGGTACTACAGTAGTTCCCAGCAGAAGTTCGAGTGGTGGCGGATGCTTCTTTTTTTCTCCTGAAGGAAATTTTTATTGGTCGTCTCAGAGCTGCCTAAAAGTCAACGTCAGAGGCAACATAGAAAGATGCTGTACTACAACATCCACATCTCTCAAAGAGGGACCACAGAAATGTAGTTTCTGTGCCCGCGGGCAGAGGACAGATAATTTGATGTTTTCCTGCAGCCCAGACATTCTTCGGCTCTCCAGTCGAGATCTCACAAGCACTTCTGAACCCTAGCTGCTCCAAAATCTCTCAAAGGTCTCAATTGCTTGCACAGTGGTTCAAGGTCTCATTCAGATGCTTGCACTTGTCCAATCCCAACGAACCAAACCAGTGGGCGCATTGCCCCCGAGACTCTGCAGTAAATGCTGCATTCATGCTCGCGAAGCTCCCTCCCACTCAACCAACCCACATGTGGGCCACTTTACCTCCCAAACCACATGATCGGCACGACGAATTGCTGCCAAGCTTACATATCGTACCGTACTGTAACTCATTCATTGTTTTCGCAACCACTCTAAACATCGCTTAGTTCAACTGGTATGAGACTCAGGCAAACCTCAGGCCAACCTGGGTTGCTGTTTGGATAGCAAGAGTTCTTGAAGCTTTCTATTTTGTTACCAAATCTGATTCCTATCTCAAACGTCACAAATCCGATGAGTATCCGCTTATCCGCATAGTTGCCCGAACCAGGACTGATGATAGGACGGGGATCAATGCCTTCGGAAACGGCGCCCAGCTTAGCGCTTCATGGCGTCCCTTGCGTCACAGCTCACGATGTGTTTCGACAGCCACTCCCGGCGTATATAACCCACGTGCTAATGCTCTCCAAATCACTCTGCTCACACCAATCTTCTCTACTTTGACGTATCCCGGAGACTCGCACTCGAGACGCCTCTTGCGACTCTGAGCTGAAGAGCTTCTTCCTCGACAAACAGCCATGGCTCACTATTCCTTCGCCGTGAAAACGCCGTCCCTCAGCAGCGCCGCTGCACGGTCGCGCTTCCCTAAGTCATGCTCAACCGGTTCCGTGAATCACGGAACTGCCACATCATCGTCTGCCTTTCTGTCCCCGCTCGTGTCCCCCTTCGCTTCCCCTCTCGTCTCCCCATTCGCGGCTACCATCGCTCCTGGGGAGATTCATCGTCCTTCAAAGCCGATATTGCCTACACCAAAGCCTTCAAGTCAAGCCTGCGGGAGTTCTGGAATTACGCAGGCTGCTTCTATCGAGCGCAGTTCTGTTTTTCAAGAGTATGTCAGTTGCCGTGATGAAGCCCTGTCTCTTGACAGTGACGATGAGGAGTATACATTGGAAGAGATCGCCTCTCAGGCGCGTATGGAGGCCACCAGACTGACAGTATTGGGATCGCGGAGAGGATCCGTTCACATTCAGCGCGAATCATTCAGCCTCCAAGTGGATATTCCAGTCCACTCCACTCAGCTGAGCTAGGCAAAATTCAATCGGATTTCAATAATGATAGGGAGCACAGAGCAACAGACGCTGACGTTTTCTTTGTGGAAGGATTGTGAGAGGAAAGCAGCAGCTGAGTCTGTCTGGCGCTGCAAACCTGTTTTGAGAGTTTCATGGGGATGCATGCAGTCATGTGGAACGTGTAGTATAGCATGCTTCTTTATCTAGTACTAATTGACTTAGACTTAGTAATAAAGTTGCCTGCCTTATTATTTTCATATTGCCTCTGATTACAATTCGTCTATAGTGATTTCACCAAGTATCAGTTTCATATTCTGCATGAGGTGCAACGGACAGATTGATTCAATGAAAAAATGCCCCACTTTGTGTATAAACTAAAGACAGCTCAAATAAGGATAACATCTTGTTTTTTCCATTCCAGTGTACACTGTATCATCCACACTCATCAAGTTGAGTTTGTCAGCCTGACATGGAGTTTGCACTAGCAAATTCTGCTCAGAACTTGGCGGTAAATTTCAAACTCTGAAAGCCTGACAAGCTGAGACCGACGCGCTGGCCAGAATTTCCCCCTCCAAACTAGACTCGTGTCAAATCTAGACCGCACATTCCTGGTTCGGATGCTCATTTTGAGCATCGACCCTGGATCCTGTCTGTCAAGCCTGAATTCTGAGTCCTGGATATTCCCAAAGCTGAGCCTCAGCCTTGAAAGCTGTGGCTTGAGCAAAGAATGCTGGGTACTTTCAAGCTGGATTTCTGAATGCTCTGGTTTCAGCAATGAATCCTCTAGCCCAAGAACCGTTCTGCACTGGATTTCATGGATTCTTGTTGCAGTACAGTAGTATCCAGATTTTGGAGCTCAGAATGTGAATGTGAGCGGGCATAGTGCAGGCAGAAGCTGAGCGTTGCAGTGAGTGTGAGTGCTTCGTGTTTCCTATTGTGTTCAGATCAGCGTATTAGCTTGAGTCTGATGCTAGTTTACATCCGCGGTTCCTTATACAGTCAAGCTCGACACAGAGAAGTTTTTGACTTGAGCTTCCTCGCTAGGGAAGTTAGGCTTTTTTAGACGGAGCATTGGGATTGAACTCTGCTGAAATATCTAACGGTTTAACTGCTATCAGGAAAGGAACCGTCGCCTCACGTCATTAATACCTTATCCCAGGTCAAGAAACGGGTCTTCTCACGTTATCGCCAAACTCCTTGATTGCATCGTCCTTAGCAGTTAGAGTTCAGGGTCCGTCACTGGCGGACTGCTGCGTTCTTCGGAAGCAAGGCATTTGGGAGTTTGACGTAAAGCGAGACGCAGCTTGCGTCCGTCACTGGCGGTCTGCTGCATGCTTCTGAAGCAAGGTATTATACTGAAGCTGGACGCGACGCAGCCATGGTGGAACCCTCATCCACCACCGACGAGAACCACTGCGAACCGGAGAATAGAGACGATTCCACCTTCAACACCATGAACAACAACTTCAGCAACAGCAGCCACAACAACTATGGCAGCAACGCCTTCCTTCAGTCCGTGTCGGAAATCCACACCCCGCTGAGCAAGCGCGAGACGAACAGCGACATTCACTACCGACCGTCTGCGTTCGCATCGTCGCTTCGTGAAACCACGAATCACAAATTCCATCCCGGCAGCGCGGTTCACCACGGGAGCTACGGAACGCCGTTCACGGGAGCGCGAGGCGGGACGCCGTTCACGGGAGCGCGAGGCGGGACGAAGGTGCGCCAGTCGCCGGCGGTGCAGAGGAAGGAGGTGCTCCAGCTGATGGAGGAGCGGGATGAAGCGCAACGAGCGGCCAAGGCGATCTTCGAGGAGAAACGAGATCTCGAGGTACCAACTTTACGTCCCGTTCATTCAATGTGTCTATGAATGCCTATGGTTGTTCCTTAACGTCCTTATATTCTTGAATGATGACAGCCGGCAGTCGGAAAGGCGATAAGCAATATCATCTGAACGTTCTTATATATGGAACACAATGATCTTTTTTTTTTTTTTTCCGCTGGTGTGTGTGTGTGTGTGCGTGTTTGATTTATCACCTCTATTTTTTTAATTGTGCTCCATATTTTCTATTGCAGGCTGTGCACGAGCGGTTACTGGAGGAGTACGAGGAGAAGGAGATGGAGCTGGAGGAGGCGATGGCTGCCAGGGACGCGGAGGTCAACCGACGGAAGCAGCTCGAGGTGCGTTCGCACGGAAAAGCAACGTTATTTCGCCATGATCTACTTTTGGGAAATCTTTCAGATTTCCGGGGTATTTCGCGTTTTGAGCCGTCTCACAACTCGAGGTTCCTTTCGCTTTGAGGCTCCGTGTCATTGGCATGATCACAGCATGGCAAGTTGGTGCATCCTTGTTATTTCATGATTCATCCCATGGCGATCTCCTTGCTATTGCTTAAAACGACGACGCGCCGCTGGTTACGTTTGTCATGTTGACCTGAAACGAAACTGATACATTAACCTTCGAAATGTTTCAAGTCTCCTGCCAGGTCCTCGCATGCCTTGCGCGTCAAGAAAGCATGTGTGCCTTCCACGCATCTCGCAGGCTGCCTCGCCTCATTGAAGTAGACAGAGGCTGGCGTTCACAGAGTAGCAGTCGGTGCAGGAGCAGATGCACGCGGAAACTGAAGCGCCTGAATGTGCCCCTGCATGCGTTTTTTGTTTCCCTTCCCACTCAACCCGCAGAACGCCTTGGCTGTGGCGGAGGGGAAGGACGGAGACGGATGGCGGCGACTGCAGAGGGAGCAGCAGTTGCAGGAACAGGTGCAGGCGCTAAGGCGGGAGACGGCGGGACTGAAGCGACAGGTGGAGGAGGCGAAGTGGCGCGAGGAGGAGACGAAGGAGAAGCTGAAGGAGTGCCAGAACAAGCTGGAGCAGGTATAGGGCAATAACTTGGCTGAGCCTGAGCAGGAGCAGGCACGAGTTTTGAGCAATATTTGGCTGTTCCGAACTTGAGCAACAAGAGGATCAAGACGCGACTGCTATTCGGTGCTTGGATCAACGACTCCTGAATTCCCACACACGGGCTACAACTTCCACCGAACTCCCATCCCGTGATCCCTTTCCAGGCTGCTTCGTGGAGGCGCAAGTGGGAGGCGGCGGAGAGGGAGCTGGGCGAGGCGAGGCAGGAGCTGGCTCGCCTGGAGGTGCAGCAGCGACGCCTGCCGCACATGGAGAAGCAGCTGCAGGTGAGCCTCATCGCCGGGTATGCGTTTCCTCCTTCCACTGGGTATGGGTACCGTCTTTGGCAAGCAAGCGGTCTGAAGCAGGCGTGCACCTCCAGCTCCTCCCGAAGCAGGAGCTGGCTCGCCTGGAGGTGCAGCAGCCGCCGCGCCTGCCGCACATGTAGAAGCAGCTGCAGGTGAGTCTCACCACAGCGTGTAGGTATGGTCCTTCTTGAGCGGACTTAAGCAGGCATGGTTTTCCTTGAAGCAGCAGGCTGTCGGCCTGCTTGGATATGCAGCAGAAAGTCAAGCGGTATTGCTGTGCTGGTAACACGTGCTATTCACAACATCTTTTCCTCCTCCCTGTTCTTCGCGTGTTGCTGTGTCCTTCCCTGGGCAGAACCTGAAGGGGGAGGTGGAGAGGTGGAGAGGCAAGGCGGAGGAGATGCAGCGAGAGGCGGAGGAGCAGAGGACGAGAGCCAAGGTGGCAGAGGTCAAGAAGACGACACTTGAAGAGCTGGTGGCTTCCCTCACGGTGAGAGCAGGGGACGGAAATTGGGGTTCTTATGTTGGAGATGCATTTGGGAACTCCTGTGAATGATTTCAAAGGAGCAGAGGACGAGGGCCAAGGTGGCAGAGGTCATGAAGACGACACTTGAAGAGCTCGTCGCTTCCCTCACGGTGAGAGCAAGGGAGCTGGGGTTCCTAAGTTAAAACTGGTTGTGAAAATTCTTAGTGGGATTTTCAACGAAGCAGAGGACGAGAGCCAAGGTGCTGGAGGTCAAGAAGACGACTCTTGAAGAGCTCGTGGCTTCCCTCACGGTGAGGGCACGGGAGTTGGGAATCTTATCTTAAAATGAATATAGTGACTTCTTAGAGGCATATTCAACGAAGCAGAGGACGCCCAAATGCACAGGTCAAGAGGGCGACATGAGGTTGCGTGGTGAGAAGAAGTAAGTTGCGTTTTGCTTTCTGTGAGAGCACGGTAGTCGGTTCTATAAACCATGGTGATGGTCAATGTAGTTCGCACTTTGCAAGCGAGTAGCTACGGTTTTCTCTAAATTCAATCAGAGAGGCGTCTGCGGGTGTCTAACATTCCAACCTTGACGTAGCTATTAGCCACTTCTCGTTGTGTATATAACGCTTACAACGACACAGAACGTCTTTGCTGCATTGTCCCGCTTGTTTCCCCCTTCAGAAGGAAGATAGAGACGATGGCGACAGTGAGAGCAACGGGGAAGAGGAAGCAGAGGCGGACGAGGCGGAAGAGGAGGCTGAGGAGGATGAGGAGGAGGAGGATGAGGAGGGTGAGGAGAAGTGGAAGGAGGAGCAAGTGAATCAGCAGCTGCAGGCGATGAAGGAGGCGTATCAGGAGTTTGAAGGCATCAGAACCACGTGTGACGAAACATCTTCTGCGGAAACAGCCTCTAAGGTGCCTCAACAGCAGTGTGAAGGCATGAACGTGGCCGATCTTCGACACTCCGCCTCCGCCTCCACCCCCGTCCCCGCCCCGTCCCCAGCCGCGGCGGCTAGGGGTGAACAAGCTGGGTACCATATAGACACACCAGGGGAGTGGGGAAGGCTGAGTATGACGGCAGGAAAGGAGAGTCTGGGAGGGGCTGGGAGTGTGAGCACAACGGGGAGTGTGGGGAGTGTGGGGAGTGTGTTGTACGGACAGAACGAGGAGACGGGGAGGGTGATCAGCAGCCTGCAGTCGAAGGTGCGCGCGGCGCTGCGCGAGAGGGACGCGGGGAGGGTGGAGTGCGCGCGGCTGGGTGAGATGGTTGCGGGGCTGCGGAGGGACCTGGCGCGGGCGGAGGAGGCGGGGGGAAAGGCGGGGGCGGAGGCTGCGGAGGTGCGGAGGCAGCTGCTGCAGGCGAAGGAAGAGCAAAAGGCAGAGGTGAGGGACCAGGGTCAGGAAGATGCCGCTGCTGCTGTTTGTGTTGACGTGAGTTTTGTGTATTCCTGTAACGGAAGCTGTGTGGGTCTTTTGGGTGCTGCTGGTGGCGCAGCTGGTGGTAGCAAGAATTTTCTTTGAGACGCCTTAAAAACATTTCTTCCTCCCTCGTTTCTTCGTTGTTCCGCAGGCGGAGGCTCTGCTGGTGGAGAGGGAGCAGCGGGCGGCGCAGCTGATGGCAGCCGAGGGAGCTCGGCTGGAGGGGGAGAAGGAGAAAGCCCTGCTCGCCGCGGACCTCTCGTCCACCAGGTGAGGAACTGACGAGCTGAGTGCTTGGTATGTGCTCTTCAGGGCTGCTTATGTGATTTGAGGGGCGAAGGAACAACTGACAGCTGACTGAAAAGTGACAGACTGATGACTGACTTGTGACAGGGTGACTCAAGCCTGCCTCTTTTCGTGGCAGAGGTTTCCCGCTTGGAAGGACCTTTGAAAGTTCTCAGAAGTGACTTTTTTTGTGCGTCCCCTATTGATTTGCGTTGCAGGGCGGAGGTCTCCCGCCTGGAGAGACACTCTTAAGAGGTCTCAGTTATGACTCTTTTCGTGCTTCCCGTGCTGATTTGTGTTACAGGGCGGAGGTTTCCCGCCTGGAGAGGAGCATGGCAGAGTCAGAGAAGCTGTCCAAGCAGTGGCTGTCCTCGCTACAAGCAGAACTCGCTGTGGTTAAAACGGAGGTTGAGCGCAAGGAGCGCAAGCTGGAAGAAGCTACACGCGAGTTGAACGTTAAGTTTAGGGAGTGCGAGAGGATGGAGAGGGCCTGGGAGAAGCAGCAGGAGGCTTGGAACGGAGAGGCGCAAGAGGCAGCGGTGCAGCTCGTTTCAGCGCGGTTGGACCTGGCTGGTTGCGGTTTTGAGAGGAGTGAGGCCGAGAGGGAGTGGGAGGAGGAGAGGAGGGCGAGGGAGGAGGAGTGGGCGGGCAGGGAGAAGGAGTGGGTTGGGGAGAAGCTGACGTGGATCAAGGAGCAGCTGACGTGGGCAGCAAAGGAGCGAGAATGGGCGAAGGAAGCAGATGAGCAGAGGGAGCACGTGGCATGGCTTGAAGCGAGCCTGTCCGGGGTAGAGCAGGAGAAGCAGGAGCTTCTGCAGGCTAAGAAAGAGGCGGAGCAGGAGCGAGAGGAGGTGGAGATGGAGAGGGAGGAAGTGGAGCAGGAGAGGAGGAGACTTGAAGGAGTGGTGGTTGCTCTGCGGGACGAGGGACAGCGGATGGAGCAGGAGCTGGAGAGGGTGCGGAAGCAGGCGGAGGCGGAGCAGCAGGCAGCACAGCAGGCGATGCAGGAGTGGGAGCAAAAGAAGCAGCAGTGGGCGGGCTGTGAGGCGCAGATGGCAGCTCAGGTGGGCAGCTTGGATGAGGAGATCACTGGGCTGAAAGTGGCACAAGCAGCGGAGCAGCAGGCGTGGGCGGAGAAGCAGTGCAGGTGGGCGTCTGAGGTAGAGGAATGGACGCGGAAGGAGCAGCAGTGGGCGGGCTGTGAGGCGCAGATGGCTGCTCGTGTGAGGTGCTTGGATGAGGAGATCACTGGGTTGAGGGAAGCGCGAGCAGCCGAGCAGCAGGCGTGGGCAGAGAAGGAGAGGCAGGAGCAAGGACGAGTAGCCTCTCTGGTGGAGCAGTGGGGGCGGAAGGAGGAGCAGTGGGAGGCTGAGAGGAGGGAGCTGGTCGGCAAGGGAGAGGAGGTGTCTGCTCAGGCTTTGATTCTGACTGAAGAGTTGGCTTCTGTGAAACAGACATATGCGGAGGAGCAGCTGCAGTGGGCGGAAGAGAAGGGGGAGCTCGCAGCTAAGCATGAGGAGCTGTCTGCGCAGGCTATGCTTCTGACTGAAGAGTTGGCTGCTGTGAAGCGGGCTTACGCGGGGGAGCAGCAGGAGTGGGCGATAAAGGGGAATGAGTGGAGGGCGAGGGAGCAGGAGTGGGAGGTGCTGGAGCAGCAGCAGAGGGTGCGGCTGGGGGAGATGGAGACCGCGTTGGAGTGTGTTAAGGCGGAGAAGGCTGCTGTGGAGGAGGAGGTTGGAGACGTGAGGCAGGAGAGGGAGGAGCTGACGAGGGCCGTTGATGCTCTAGAGCGCGAGAAGCAGGAGCTGATCGCAGCCATTGATTCGCTGGAGAAGGAGCGGGCGGCAGAGCGGGAAGAGTGGGGAGAGAAGGAAGAGGAATGGAAGAAGGAGCAGGAAGTGCAGGAAAGGCGGATGAGGGAGCTTCAGGGGATGTTAGAAACGGTGCAACAGGAGAGTGTGCAGCAGAGGAGGGAGTGGGAAGGTAAGGAAGGGAAGTGGCTGGCGAAGGAGCAAGAGTGGCAGGAGAAGGAGCAGGCGTGGCATTGTAGGGAGGGAATTCTGGGTGAGGCTCTTGCTGCCGTGGAGGCGGAGCTGTGTGTGGTGAAGGGAGATGTGGCAGAGAAGCAGCAGGCGATAGCAGCAGCGGAGCAAGAGTTGTGCCTGGTAAAGGGAGACCTGGCGGCGAAGGAGAATGCTTGGACGCGCAGGGAGGGTATCTTGGGAGAGGCTCTTGCTGCCGTGGAGGCAGAGCTGTGTGTGGTGAAGGGAGATCTGGTAGAGAAGCAGCAGGCGATAGCAGCAGCGGAGCAAGAGCTGTGCCTGGTAAAGCGAGACCTGGCAGCGAAGGAGCAGACGATTGCATGCTGGCAGGAGAAGGAGCAGGCTTGGACTTGCAGGGAGGGCGTTCTGGGTGAAGCCCTTGCAGCAGCGGAGGAGGAGTTGTGTGCGGTGAAGGGAGGTATGACAGCAAAGGAGCAGCAGTGGGTGGAGAAGGCGGGGGTGATGGATGAACAGATGGCAGCTGTGCAGCAGAATCTGGCGGCAGCTCAGGCTGACGTGGAGACTGCTGAAGCTAAGCTGGCAGCAGTGAGGAATGAGCTGGTAGAGAGGGATCAGGAGCTGGCAGTGACGGAGCAGCGATGGGCTGAGAAGGAGGCGGCATGGGAGGTGACGAGATTAACGTTTGAGGGGAGGGTGACAGAACTCGAAGGGAGCGTTGCTAGCTTGGAAGAAGAGAGGTCAGAAATGAAGCGTAAGATGCAATCCAAGCACGAGCATTGGGCGGAGAAGGAGCAGCAGCTGCTGCTGGTGCAGCGGCAGCAGGAGGAGTCAGCAGCAGGTGCTTTACGAGCTGCAGAGGCAGCAAAGGAAGAGGCGGAGGTGCAGGGGCAAGCCTGGCTGGGTCGGGCAGAGGAAGCAGAGAAGAGAGAGGAGGGTCTGAGAGAGGAGATGGATGGTCTGATTAAGGAAGCGGCGGCTAGGCACCAGAGAGTAGTGAGGGACTTGACTGAGGCGCGTGGGAAGCTGGATAGTGTGAATGCGCGGTTGGATGCGGTTCTGGGAGAGAGGGATGGGTTGAAACGGGAGCTGGAGGGCGTGAGGAGGGATTTTGGGCGGGAGAGGGACGGGTGGGTGAAGGAACGGGCGGGTCTGGAGGAGAAGGTGAGAGGTTCGGAGGAGAAAGTGAGGGGTTTGGAGGAGAAAGTGAGGGGTTTGGAGGAGGAAGTGAGGGGTTCAGAGGAGTCAAACGCGCAGCTGAGAGCAGCGGCATCCCAGCTGCAGGGGCAGAAGGTGGCATTGGAAGAGATGGTGAGGAGCCTGAGGGATATTAATGTGGAGTTAGAGCAGGCGAACGGGCAGCTTATGGGAGGCAACGTGCAGTTAGAAGCGAGTGTCGGGCAGCTTAGGACGGCCAACGGGCAGCTGAAAGCAGCAGTGGCTCGGCTGGAGGGGGAGAAGGCGGCGGTAGAGGCGGAGAGGGCGGAAGGGGAGGCGGAGTGGGAGGCGGAGAGGGAGGGGATGGAGAGGGAGAGGGGGAGGTTGGTGGGGGAGAGGGAGAGGCTTTTGGGGGTGAATGCGCAGCTGAAGGCTGCTGTGGGGAGGTTGGAGAAGGAGAAAGGGGAGACGGAGTGTGGGAAGGCGGAAGCTGAGGCGGAGTGTGCGGAGCTGAAGGGGGAGAGGGAGGAGCTGCGGGCGCTGGTGGCGCGGTTGGAGGGGGAAAAGGCGGAGGTGGAGAGGAGTAATGAGGAGCTGAAGAATGAAGTGTGTGTACTTAAGGAGGCTGTGAGTGGGCTGGAAGCGGTCAGAGATGGGTTGGAGGAGGAGAAGAGGGAGGTGGAGAGGCGGAACGAGGAGGTGCTAGGAGAGAGGGAGCGGCTGAAGGGCGAATTGGCACAGGCTCTGTCAGAGAAGGGAGAGGTTGAAGCAGAGAGGGAGGCGCTGCAGCAAGCACTGGGACAGGCGCAGGCAGAGACGAATCAACTTGAAGCCGAGAGGGAGCAGCTGCAGGCAGGTATCGGCGAATGCGAGAGAGAAATTGGCCAGTTGAAGTCTGAGAATGAGGCCCTAGATGCGGCTAAGAAGGGGCTGGAGGGAGCCCTGGGGCAGGCGCAGACAAAGGTGGGGCAATTTGAAGCGGAGAGGGAGCAGATGGAAGCAGGTATCGGCGAGTTAGAGAAGGAAATTGGCCAGTGGAGGGCGGAGGGTGCAGCTTTGGCTGCAGCGAAGGGGGCTCTGGAGGAGGAGCGGGTGGTGCTGCTGGCTGGTGCGGCTGAAATGAAGGCAGAAATCGAGCAGCTGAGAACCGAAGGAGCAGCTTTGGCTGCAGCGAAGGGGGCTTTGGAGGAAGAGCGAGTGGTGCTGCTGGCTGGTGCGGCTGAGATGGAGGGAGAAATCGAGCGGGTGAACTCTGAGAATGAGGTTTTGAGTGCGGGTAAGGAGCAGTTGGAGGGAGAGAGGGAGAGTTTGCTTGCTGAAAGAGAGAGTGTGCTGGCTGAGAGGGAGGGTCTGCTTGCTGATAAGGCTGGGCTGGAGAAGGATAAGGACGGACTACTCGAGGAGCGGGAGGTGCTTCAGCAGGAGAAGGGTGATTTGGAGGAGAGGGTGGTAGCCCTGGCAGGTGAAAGGGATGGGCTGACGGTCAAGGTGGGGGAATTGGAAGCCGAGAGGGCTCGTCTGGTGGAAAAAAATGCAGGTTTGAATGGCGAGAAGGAGGCGCTGATGGGTGAAAAGGAAGCTTTGATTGTGCAGCACAGGGAGCTGGAAGGTGCGAAGGCTGGTTTGATGGGGCAGGTTGCAGGTTTGAGGGGAGAAAAGGAGGCGTTGCTGGTTGAAAAGGCAGAGTTGGTGGAATGGAAGTCAACAGTGGAAGCTGAGAGGGATGGGATGCAGGTGAAGGTAGGGGAGCTTGAGGCTGAGAGGGATGGGCTGAAAGTACAGATGGGGGAACTGGAGGTTGAGAGGGAAGAGCTGATGGTGAAGCACAGGGAGCTTGAAGGTGAGAGGATTCGCTTGATAGAGCAGATCGAGGATTTGAACAGAGAGAAGGATGTGCTGATGGTCGAGAGGGAGGAGTTGGTGGAGGAGAAGGCAGCTTCGGAAGCTGAGAGGGGTCGTATGAAGGTACAGATACGGGAGATGGAGGTCGAGAGGGCGGGACTTGTGGAGCAGATCAGGTGCTTGCAGTCAGTGAAGGAGGCGCTAATGGGCGAAAAGGAGGAGCTGGTGAGGGAGAAGGAAGCAGTAGAGGCTGAGAGGGATGGGCTGAAGGTGAAGCAAGGGGAGCTTGAAGCTGAGAGGGCGGTTCTTGTGGAGCAGATTGGGTGCTTGCAGGCAGAGAAGGGGGTGCTGGAGGGGACAGTGGGACGGCTGCAAGGGGAATGGACAGCGCTTCGAAGACAGCTTGATTCGTTACAAGGGGAGCATGACTCGTTACAGGGAGAGTTTGATTCGCTGCAAGGGGAGTTCAGTGCAGTGCAGGAGGAGAAGGTGGGCGTGGAAGCGGAGAGGGCAGAGCTGCAAGACAAGGCTCGTGCTCTGGAGGAGAGGCGAGCCGATTTGGAAGGAGAGAAGGCCGTTTTGGAGGGAGAGAAGGCCGTTTTGGAGGGAGAGAAGGCCGTTTTGGAGGGAGAGAAGGCCGTTTTGGAGGGAGAGAAGGCCATCTTGGAAGACGTGGTGCGAGGTCTGAGAAGTGAGAAGGAGTCAGTTGAGAGTGCTAACTGTGAGATCAAAGCCTCGTTGAGAGAGAGGGAGGATGCACTGTGCTGCACCTAGAGAATGCACTGGAGGAGAGGGAGGGTGCTGTGAGGAGGCTGGAGGGCACTGTGCAGCAGCTAGAGCAGACAGTGAAGGAGAGGGAGGGTGCTAACTGCGAGCTCAAAGCGTTGCTGAGCGAGAGTAGGAGCACAGTGCTGCAGTTAGAGAATGCACTGGAGGAGCGGGAGGGTGCTGTGAGGGCTTTGGAGGGCACAGTGCAGCAGCTGGAGCAGAAATTGGAGGGCGCTAATTGCGAGCTTGAGGCCTTGGTGGAGGAGAGTAGAAGCACTGTTCAGCAGCTCAAGGAGACGTTGGAGGAGAGGGAGGGCGCTGTGAGGAGGTTAGAGGGCGCTGTGCAGCAGCTAGAGCAGACGTTGGAGGAAAGGGAGGGTGCTAACTGCGAGCTTAAGGCGTTGGTGGAGGAGAGTAGGAGCACTGTGCAGCAGCTGAATCATGCTTTAGAGGAGAGGGAAGGTGCTGTGAGGAGGTTGGAAGGGACTGTGCAGCAGCTAGAGCAGAAATTGGAGGAGAAGGAGGGTGCTAACTGCGAGCTTGAGGCGTTGGTGCTGGAGAGTAGGAGCACTGTGCAGCAGCTGAAGCATGCACTGGAAGAGAAGGAGGGCGTTGTGAGGAGGTTGGAAGGGGCAGTGGAGGAACTGGAGGGAGAGCGGAAGGCAGGAGAGGAGGAGATGAGTGCGATGAAGGTGGAACGATCAGAGCTAGAGGCTTCCCTCCTGCAGTGGCAAGTGCGACAGGTGGAGCTGGAAAGTAGCCTGCAGGAGATGAAAGGAGAGAAGGAGAAATTGGAGTTATGGCTGCAGCAGGCGCAACAGGAGCAGCTGGAGATGCAGCAGCGAATGCAGAGGAAGGAGGAGGAGATGAGAGGCTTGCAGGAGGAGTGGACGCGGGTGGAGCAGCGGTGGGATGCGGATATGAGGGAGAAGGAAGCCGCGTGGAAGGAGCTGGAGGGGAGGCTGAGGAGAGAGGTAGCGGAGAGGGACGGGCAAGTTGGGAGGCTGAATGGGCTCGTGGAGGGACTTGAGGGGCAGATGAGGGAGGAGAGAGGGCGTGTTTTGGCTCTGACTGGACAAGTGAATGAGCTTTTGGAGGTGAAGGGGCAGTTAGAGGAGCAGAGGGAGGGGGTTGTGAGGGAGAAGGAGCAGCTGGGAGAGAGAGTGAGGGAGCTGGAGGGGAGGTTGGTGGAGGTTGAGGAGGAGAGGGGGAAGGCGGTGCGGGAGTGTGAGGGTGAGATAGAGAGGAGAGGGGAGGAAGTGAGGAGGTTGAGTGAGGAGGTGAGGAGGATGGGAGAGGGGGTGAGGGAGAGGGAGAAGGAGATGAGGAGGCGAGAGGAGGAGGTGGTGGTTGCAGTGGAGGGGGAGAAGAGGAGGGTGAAGCAGGAGTATGCGGAGAGGGAGGCGAGGAGGGAGGAGAGGATGGAGAGGGAGATTGCCAAGATCCAAGTAGCTGTGCTGGAGGAGAATCAGACGCTCAAGCAGAAGGTGAGAACACGGGACACATGTATCATATTCTTAAAGTTCTTATGAAACTGGTTGCCAAGATCCAAGCAGCCGTGCAGGAGGAGAATGAGACTCTCAAGCAGAAGGTGAGAGTGAGGGATGATCAGAGGCGGGTGGAGTGAGTTCGAGGCACCAGCTCAATGCCACAAAAATTGTCCCACTGTGCTCTCTACTCCATTCTCCTTGTTCTTTCAGGTGGAAGGCCTGGAACAGAGGCAGCAGGCGATGGAGCAGAAGATTCAAAGGGAGAGGGAGCAGCTGCAGGAGAGCCAGAAGCAGCTTCAGGCTATGGAGAATCAGGTGAGCACCGACCTACCACTTCTGTAGTACATAATCCGGGTTATCCCCACCCTGCACACTCTGCTGCCTTACCTGTATTTTTACCATTGCCAACCCTCCCCACACCTTACGCTGCACCTGCTCCCGTCCGCTTCCTCCCTTTTAATAGCTGTGCGTTCACTCCACTGTCTTCCACCACCCCACTCCAAGTGCTGCTGCTATACATCACACATAACACAATGCTTTCTGCTAATATACATTCATTCCATAGACTAATCAGCAACTAAGAAGCTCCTTCTCAAATCCCTTACACTTTGCAGCTTATGGACAAGGAGAAGCACATGAAGGTTGCTGAGCAGCAGCTGCGGGCCGAACGTGAGAGGATGGCTCGGGAGCAACGGCTGATTTCCCAGGCCTTGTTTGACGCCAACCTGGAGCTCATGCACCGGTCAAAGGGATCCTCATAATTACAGATGTTACACAAGAACAGCTGCCAAGACAACTTAGGCTTAGACTCAGTAACCCAGACAAATTGTTATAGCTAATACGGCAATGATGGATGTGTCTTCGGCCTTTCTTATTCATTGTGACCTTTCTAAACTCCCATTGACATTTCACTGACTAGTTGACATTTTGTGCGTGAAAATAAAACACATATCGTATGACTTGACCTGAAACGGAAATGATCCTGTACCCGTACGCTGTACAGGAGTCTATGCGGGAATGGGCGTGAGAAGCTGAATAGCCTTGGTGCGCACCGGTTTGATCCGGTGAACCGGGTCTGGGAAGGGCGGAGTGGGTTATTTCTGTTAGAGTCAGATTTCCCTAAGTCGTGATTACTGTACTCGGATGACAGAGAACAAATCCAACCTTTCTTCTTTCCACAAAACGAGCCTCAGGACGCGGCACCTGTTTTCATTTTGCCAGGATCGATCGTGGGAGGGGATCGATGTGCCACTTGTACAGTGTATTGGCGACATCGCCAATGCCTGGTATCCGTTTTTCGCTGAACGTCGAGAATGTACAGTAAACGGGTACCTAGCTTCGTGGCACCTGCAGCTCGCACGATCGATGTGCCGTGGTGCATGCGTTAGGATTGGCGGGAGAGCATATCGCGCCACAGGTGACAGCCTCGATCGATCGGCGTCGCCCACGGTCGCAGGCCAAAATTTTATTGAGTCGCTGCGAATGGAATTGCTGGACGACCATCCACGCTCTGCCCTGATTGGCTGCGCGTTTAAGTGTAATGGCAGCTCCAACCTGCCCGAGCCTGCAATTTCGACCCTGGCACCTATAGCTCGATGTGTCTATCCCACTGCAAATTTGCAGTATGGGCAAATCGGTGTGCCGATCGATATGCGAGGATCGATGTGAGGCCACGATCCTTGTAAAATGAAAACAGGTGCCGCGTCCTCAGGTTTCGTCAATAGTTTTTGGGAGCTACGCTACTTGTCCGTGACGCTCTAGGAGATACGTACTAGCAAACACCCTGGTTCCCTAGTTCACTTGTCTTTGTTGAGTGTTGAGGTAAAGTAGGAATCGAAGGGGTATGGGAGGGGTGTACTACTTTTTTTTAGCAGCTGTGAGCGGCGACGGGAACCACGCAACCACAGCCTGTGGTGATAACGCACGTGGGTTATCCGCGAATCGAATGCTTGCTCCGAGCGAGTCGCTGTCAAGCTCGAACACCTCGTTCAGAGCGGCGCTGCCGTGTAGATTACATGCAGGCGCCGACAGCTTGAAGATGGTTTTCCGTACTATCCATCTTGAAAAGCTGTTTAATCCGACATCTTGAAGATCAATTCACGTACCCAAATGTTCATACGAGCGCGGGCGGAGCAGGCGCAAGATGCGACGCAATGACTGCAGATAGGTATTCGTGGGCAGGTTGGTGAGATGTCTCGTTTTCATTCGACGAATGACTTCCCAGCAGTCTAGTACTTGTGCTCGTCGGCTGGTGAAGTCACCGCTTGGCACTCTCTGCCAAAATGATGCTCCGCAAGGATTTGCGCTGCTCCACAAAAACTTGCGCTGCCAACATGCTGCGGTGCGGCACGCTAGCAAGGGTTTCCACAACTAGCAGTAGCAATCAAATTTGCGCTGTTGTGACTTAGCCGTACCACTAGTGGTACACTAGTAGTAGTCTTTCTCCTTTGTCACGCCTGCTTGCTACTATTTAGGTCATTACTTTCCGAAGGCGAAAGACTACTACTAGCGTATTCCACGTCGCCCGATCTGTCGCTTCAGCCTGAAGATCGTCGAGATCGTCGACGCGAGATCGCTGAGATCGTCCTGCAGTCTCGGCGACCGGCGAGGATCGGCGAGGATCCGCGAGGATCGGCGATTGGCGCTCGCCGAATCTGCGAGTCAGGAGACAAAATGGCTTCTTTTACTAGAAAGGACCAAATGATGCTTCTCGCCGCCGCCGTTACTCTTCTTCTTGTCTGCATCGTCGCGCCTGCAGGTGAGTCGTGTGCATCGGCAAACGACTATCGCCTGTTTGATACTGGAATCTATCTTGCACACGTTCTCCGTTCTTTCTCCCTCCAAAGTCCCACCTTTCTGGCCTCTCCTCTCCTGTCTAAGGCTCTCCCGCGCAGCTCCTTTCCGTGTCTTTTAGGGGTCTCTGCAGCTCCTTTCCGTATTCAGATCCGTTTTTTTATTCCGCCTCATCGTGTGTACTGTGTAAACATCTTGTTTACCCCTCTGGTAATAACCTCCCCTCTGGTATTACCCTTCTCGTATTGCTGTACGTGTGCCTCATGAGTATGTTCAGGCCTCATTCTATGTTCGAATAAATATAGATACAAACCATTTACTGAATTGTTTGCGCTGTTCAAACATAGTGTACGGGCCTCCGAATTATATATTCCTCGAGGAATCGCCTCCTGTCTGCTCTCCCTGCTCCTGTGATACCTGCGGATGTGCCTTCTTCTCTCTGCTCTCCCCGCTCCTGTGATACCTGCGGATGTGTCTTCTTCTCTCTGCTCTCCCCGCTCCTTTCCCATCTCTATGACTGTCTGCATTTCGTATCTACATCTGGTTCTGATACCCCCTCCCCCTCCCCCCCACAACCCCCCCCCCCCCCTCCCCTCCTCTCCCCCACACCCCTCCTCTTTATTTAACCAAGCCGTTTGTCCCCCTCCCATATTTTTCCCTCCTCGTGTTTCACACTTTTCATGTTACAGCTTCCACTCCTCCTGGCCCTCCCCCTCCTGCAACCCATGGCTGCGCCGTCAAGAAACAGCACATGTGCCCGTGGGTGTGTGACAACAAGGACAAAAAGAAGGCTCCCTGCTTGTTGAGGAAGGTTTGCCCCAACGGTCAGATTTGCATTTCGTTTGTCCGAAGTTGTAAGGGGTACAAGTGCGTTAAGGTGTTTCCAGCAGGTAAGAGAGGACGTCGTGATCGTTTTTAACGGTGACGTCAATTTCCTCAAACCTGGTTGTAATTTCTGTAATCTTGAGAGTACGGAGAGAACTACTGTAAGGGCGTGTCCAGTTCGTTCATTTCGGGATTTTTCGTGCCAACGCACGTATCGAGTTTCAAAAATGACTACCGTACCTAGAAACGAATGCATTGAGAAAGCTTGCTTTCTTTCTCATCGTTCTCATGTTGAGTGAGCCGTTTGAAAATTGAGAAACGTGGGTGGAGGGAAATGAGCTCCAACCCACGGTTTTTGTAGTTGGAGAAGGGCGTTTAGCGCGCTTCGACGATGCCAATTGTGCAGTACAAGCAGCTTCGCTTTCACAATACACAATTTTACAAAACACTACATGTGTGTTTAATAATTATAATATTGTTAGTGGAGTCCAGCCTTCCTGTAATTTCAGAAGCGCGGACACATTCCCCGCCACACGAATCAGCAGTGCTCTGACCACGTTGAAAACGAGGTAACAGTTTCCCTCGTCAATCATAGCTTGAAATTTTTTGTGCAGGCGCAGGGGGCGCTGGCGAGTAGAGCGAAAAACTGACGAAATCTTGCAAGCGATGCAAGGGAAACGAACTGTAGTGGCCAGGACGCGGTGCTGTACCCTTGTTCGCGTCCCTGCTGATTCCAGTAACGTGAGTCAGACTACTCTAGGTACGTGCATGGGGCGTGCCGTCTTGCGAACAGAAGCTGATTGTGTCCGCTGGACACGTTCAATAAAGGGTTACCACAAAAAATGTGGTAACTGAGGGGGTTTACAAACAGTAAATGTACGAGCTGGACCCCCCCTAATTGATTTTGTAAGCTGAAGTGATTCATGTCTAGTAGGGAAAATGTGTACCCTATACTATGCATCTCACTGTGGAAACTAACAAAATATTTAAACATTGTTTGACACAATGGTGCCTAGTTGCGACACCACGGATACAACTGCCGTTTTTTCGCGTAGCGCTCAGTTCTGTTCGCATTGTCAGATCTCACGGCTCCCTCCTCTCCCGCAATCGCAGACTTCCGTTGTGACATCTCAAACCCGTTTCGTCGATGTTCGTTCTGGGTAACGAGGTGTGCGAAAGCTCGCAGACTTAAAAAGGATGGGGGCTTTTTTCCTTTGAGAAATAACTTATCTCCGGATTGCTCCTGTCAGTTATGGGAGTGGCAGCTAGGCGGATATAGTACTAGCTACTATCCGCCATAGTGGTGGGTGGAAAGTCATTCTTGCTGTTTAGTTTGGATCTTTCGCGAATCGTGACAAACGGGATCGATACCACAGACCGAATTAGCTGCTGGCTTTATGGCGTGTTCAAAGTGCTGCAAAAACTCGACGTCGAGGGACGTCGGTGAATCCTGACGGTTGGAAGTTTTTATCCGACGGTCGAAATTCACCGACGTTCCTCGACGTCGAGCTGGTGCAGTACTTTGAACACCCTTTTAGCAATAACGGGATACAGTAGCGGAGTGGTGCGGAAACAGCACGAATGGCGGATCTATTAGGTATACCGCCGTCGCACTGGTAATCCGACTGCAGGCACTGCCGTTACTTCCCCTCATGCGACAGGACGGTGCTATCTAATAATTTTCGCCAGTATACGCCACCACTACTTCCCATCATGCGACGGGACGGTGCTATCTGTGACATCCGCCGGTACGCGCCGCCGTTACTTTCCACAGTACAGTGGCTCAGGAAGGTGCCATTCGCCTAGGCAGATTGAAGAAGCCATGGTTTTTGTCCTAGTCGAGTGGCATCGGTTACTTTCCCAGGAGCACGCACATGCGGGTAGCACGAGTCGGTTCGACTACTTGATTGTACGGTACATGACGGTACCTGACGGTAATGCTGTATTTTCTTTTACTGCTGTCTATTACGATCATCAGCATGTACAGTACAGTAACGCTGTCGCGCCAAGGGCCATGCCACGCCAGCTCAAGCCAGCGGTTCTTACCCGCCTCAATAGTACGCACTTACGCGCATACCTACTAAAGTTAATGGAAGTATGGCCCCCGCAGCCCACCTGTCTATCGTAGACAAGTCAAGCCAGC